GTGAACAAATGCAAGCTAATTAACACGGTTGATTAGATCACAGATAACTAACTTGACAGTATCACATTTAAAATATACTGGTATCCTCCAAAGTATGATGTGAATTGTAAGGAGGTGCAGTTACCCTTGTTTGAGATGAACCAGAACTGTGAAGACTCAATCAACAGCAATCACAGCACAAGTCATGTTAGTTAGATATTTGTTTGTAAAACTGTGAGAACAATGCAGCCACAGTTTGTTATACCAGTCACCACACTTGCTCTCCTGTGCAGCCTCAAGGCATGATGGAAATCACCCCGCTGTCACCGGACTTAACAGCTGATTGGTTTGGATGGTAACTTGACACTATGACTTTTGATAGAAACTTTTCATTTTAGTTGAATTGCTGAGATTTTGCATTTTATTTGTTTGAGTTTGAGAATTAAAAGAGTAAGATTGTGGTTGATGGAGATGTTTGAATACATTCAGATTACAGATCACAGACTGCATATAATATAACACTAGTCTATTGGATATTAACACTAGGAGCGATTTCATTCTTGAAGCATTTAATGACACCAAAACTCCTGGTAAGTGTGATGAGAGGATTTTTAAAATAGCACCTAAACAGATATTTCAGCCCTGGCAGTCTAAGTGTCTGGTAGATCAAAATCAAATCAAATCAAATCAAGTTTATTGTCATTTTGCTGTACATATACAGTAGTACAGGCAAAATGAGAGAGTGTTTCTTCAGGATCATTTCATTTGTAAGTTTTGCAGAACGCACATCTGGGAAAGGCAAGACACTCAACGTTCACTGGCTCTTGAAGGGGCCACTGTATCCATGCGCGGCGCCATTTGTTGAACATGGCGAACCTCTTCAGGTCCTGGTAGGTTTTCAAGGACACAAAGACACACACGATGGTGTGATGATGGTGAAGCCGCAGATGCTGCCCAGAGCTAGCTGCCTGTCTGTCTGTCTGTCTGTCCGTGCGGAATAATGTCGTCCCCTCCAGCTATATGGCCATCTGGGATGTTATCATGGAGCCATGTTTCTGTTAAAGTAAACACAGCAGTCTTTCCACTCTCAGCAGGTTTCTCCTAGCCAACGTAGCTCATCCAGCTTGTTGTCGATGGAGCGGACATTGGAGAGTAGGAGCGACAGTCCTACTGGTCTAGAGGGGTTGCCTTTAGCCTAGCATGGATCCCGGCTCTCTTCCTCCTCCTTTGTTTACGTTCGCACCGTTTGTGCTTCCTTCTCTCTTGTGTAATGCAATAAAAGCTGTTGTTTTGGAGTCTTTCTACTGTATTTGACTTGTTTTGCTTCTTTGCACCAATGGACCAAGTCAAATTCCTGGTGATGTAAAAATTACTTGGCAATAAAACTGATTCTGATTCTGATTCTGATTCTGATTCTGATTTTGACATTTGCCATTTTCAATATATGTATGACGTTTGAGAGAGATGGGTCTGCTCAATTGATTCGGATACAGCAGCAATTCAAACATGAGAATTCATGCAAAATGGAGACTGAACCATCAACAGATTTCCTATACAGCACCCTTTGAAAATCACTGATCTAGCTGATGACAATCACATAGCTGACATGAATTGGTAACTGAATTTGGTGTATCATGATCACTGCTCGAGTTGAGGGGGGATGAGGGGGGATGGCATCCCCCCTGAAATAAAAATGTTAAAAATCATCCCCTCTCTCAAACGGTCATCCCCCCGTTCCATCCCCAGACATTTTTACCAATGAATGTGGAAATATTACTACTATTCTGAATTGACCTGGAGAGGGCAAACCATCTTTTTCCAGTCAAGAACCATGGCCACGGATTTGGAGGTGCTGATCCTCATCCCGCTCGCTCCACACTTGGCTGCAAACCGCCCCACCGCACGCTGAAGGTCCTGATTTGATGAAGCCAACAGAACAACATCATCTGCAAACAGCAGAGATGAAATTCTGTGGTTCCCAAACCAAACCCCTTCCTCCCCCTGGCTGCGCCGAGAAATTCTGTCCATAAAAATAATCAACAGAACCAGTGACAAAGGGCAACCCTGGCGGAGGCCAATGCGCACTGAACAGGTCTGACTTACAACCGGCAATGCGAACCATGCTCCTGCTGCGGTCGTAAAGGTAACGGACAGCCCTTAACAGAGGGCCCCGTACCCCATACTCCCGAAGCACCCCCCACAGGACACCACGAGGAACACAGTCGAACACCTTCTCCAGATCCACAAAGCACAAGTGGACTGGTTGGGCAAACTCCCATGAGCCCTCAAGCACTCGATGGAGGGTATAGAGCTGGTCCAGTGTGCTGCGACTGGGACGAAAACCAGACTGCTCCTCCAGAATCCGAGGTTCGACTATCGGTCGGATCCTCCTCTCCAGTACCCTGGAATAGACCTTACCGGGGAGGCTGAGGAGTGTGATCCCTCTGTAGTTGGAACACACCCTCCGGTCCCCCTTCTTAAAGACAGGGACCAGGGTATTGGTGTAAATTTTTGATATTGATTTTCAAATTTTGTAAATTACTTCAACTAGTTCATTAAATTTTTTGCATTTGAATTAAAATGAACTTGACCTGACTTGAGAGGATTCAGAGTTTCATTTGCAGTTTTTGTGAGGTTTTGTTTCACACTTCAGTAGATGAATTACCAAATGATCTCAAAGTACCATGAATATGAAATTGCACTTGAACCTCTTACTGCATAGGAGCAGTGATAGCCATGCCAGCCTGGGGACTGACTCCAATTCTGAGGTATCTTGGTCAAGATCCGTTACAGGAGAATCTGACACATAACATCCATGCCATATACGTTGTTTTAGGATAGTAAAATAATTATCTTTGAGCTTTAACAAAAATAAAAAAGGGTACATAGTTTGTTTCACATCATATGCACTGTCATCAGGGCAAAAATATCCATCCTGAAAAATAAAATCCACCATCCCCCCTGAAATTTTTTTTACAACTCGACTACTGATTATGATCGTCAAAATAATAAAAAAAATAACACCTGAGCAGACTTTACCTGCAGCAGCTGGTAATGCCACACAGGATGACCTCCAAACCTGCACAGCACACAGTGCAGTACGACTGGTAGCCGTCCTCATCGTAGCGGTACAATGTCTCTGAGAAGTTCTCCTGCAATCAGTGACAAGGTGGTTTTGCAGCATTTTGGATGTTAATGGCAGCTGTGTTTCAGATGGAGGTTAAACATTTAGACACTTGACTGGGATGGAGGAAAGCAGACCACAAAAACCAGACAAAGATAGAGCACTGTGTTATTAGATTACCTTGCATCTTAGACAAAGACCACCTTCAAACAATGGGTGCGGCACTTCAATCTCAGATGACCCACAAGACAAACAAAAATCTGAAATAAAACATTACCTTAAAATGAAGATTTCTGTGTTTTTATCAAATATTTTAGGTCACAAACTTATTCTTTCTACTCACACATAACGTACCTTCAATTGTGTTGCCTTTCACTTTGAGCTTTTCTATTATTGATTCTGTCAAGAAAAGTGATAAAACAAATCACAAATAGGGAAAAAAATGTTGTTAGTAACATAAAGTATATGGTAGGTTTTTCAAATGTTTATCTTTGCAAGTATATGAAATTCATTATATAACAAATAGGTACCTCTAGTATCGATGATGCCGGGGGCATTTGATTTATTTTTTAAAATAGATTTCCTTTTTGCTGGGGGCTGGTAGTCAGATAGGGCAGAGTCAGATGAATCAATATGTGCAGCAGAATCTGGAAGAGAATAGAATAGAATCAACTAAAATTTAATGAGAAAAAAAATCACTGTTTAAGAAGCATATTTTGGCATATCAACAAGAAAATGAAATTAAAGGGAAATTGCTGCTTAGCTAGATGACTGTGCAAGACAAAACATGACAGGTCATGTTTTATTTCTAAAACCTGACAACCTTTAGCAGAACTGCCTGAACCTGTCTACTCTACAAATCTGCCATAATGTCATGTATGTGTTTATACACCTGCCCTATCTGGTGAAAGAAACACATTAACTGGTATTTTGGAGAGGTGAAGTTTTTTTTTTTTTTTGGATGGATTTATAAACATGCCCATACCAGCAGGTAAAAATCCTTCGGGTCCTGTAGGCAGAAATCCTTCAAAAGCCCAGTCCAGCATCAGCTTCAGCTCTTTTTCTTTATCACCTTTTGCCTTGACAAAAGACTTTCCACACCGCTCACCTGCCAACTGCAGATTACAGAAGTGATCAAAATCTAAAGCCATGGTACAAGTGTGTGAAACATATTCTGGCACATATTTGCTGAGTGACTCTGAGCGATCACTATGATAGAAAAACATCTTGGCCAAATGGCCTGTCTGCTGTTTGACAGATAAGCAGAAATCTTCTTCTTACTGCTGTCAACCCTATAATATTCACCGACCAAAATACAAATTCTGCAGCTGTATTTTTAATGACATTTGTATCACATTTGACTATTCTATACATCATTTGAAAGCACAAAGACTCATTATGCAAACAGTGTAAACCATTTTAAGTAACTAACATCAGCTGTAGTGATAGTTCCTTACTTTGTCATGATAATGCTAGACACACTGTGGTTTCTTATTTTATCTGCCATCTGTCGAGGCACAAACTTACTGAATCACTGTGTGTTACATGCTGTTTACACTGTAACAGACCAACAAAGATTCCATGCTTCCATGCTTTTAATCTTTTTTAGTAAAAAGGGAAAAGGGTGAACATTAAGGGGTTAAGTGCTCACAGTTTCATCCTAATTAGCAAAACTTTAGATTTTACCCTGATTAAACAAAAACTAATTGTAAATATTAGTGATAAAATAGAGTTACGATAGCCAACTTTCCACTCAGCTGTTGTTGACAGTGACAAAGCCGCATCACACATTACAGAACCAACTGCATGAAGTTAATTTAGTTATAGTTTCATAAGTTTTACTGTAGCTACACACTGCATTTATGAATGTGGGACTACACTGTGTAACATACTAGTGCTATATTGTTGGGGAAGCAAAATGTTGACAAGATTAAGTGTAAGAGAAAATGCAAATCAAAGACAGCAGACATGGAAATCACGATGTAAATCTGTTACTTTACATGTTGGCTGTCGACACACAAAACAAGGGTGCGGCACAGAATGTTCTGGTTACCTCAATGATTTGGTAGATGGCTTCCTTGTAGACAGGCAAGCTGGCAAAGGAGTTTTTGCAGAAGCACTTAGTGAAGGCACTAAATGGCAGGAGGCCCTCAGTATAGACCTGTAATAGACACCAATAATGATGTAAAAATCTATGAATGTCTCTTCATCCTAAACTAATCTGTATATCAAAACTAACACAAAGCGCTGTATTGCTAACCTCTGAGAACATGCCATCACCAAACCACTCCACCCTCCGCATACCCGGAGGAACAGACTTGGTTTTCCAAGGCATTACCATCCCAGGCCACCAGGAAAACCCCTGCACTTTCCCCCACACCAGCTCTCCTGTCAGAAACCCTTTACCATCCTGCAGAAAACAACAAGAAGAAAAGCAGATTATTCACATTTTTAACCCTGTCAGGCATAGTAAAATCTAAAAACCAATTTATCTATGACATAGTGTTTGATTGGCAAACTTTGAGAGCAACTCTACGGTGGACTTTTTTCAGCAGCAGCAGCAACTTATTACCTGGTAGACAGGCTTCCGTCGTCCTCTGGTCGGTGTGGGTTTACTGGATGGTGATGTTTCATCCACCTGAAAATCAACCATATTGAGAACAAATAGTCAAAGAAGTGAAAATTTAGCAATTATAAAACAGTTTCTGAAAGAGCTGGTTTAGTTCTTATAGAATATACATTTCTGTAATTATATTTTGTGGTACATATGGAAAAATGTGTTTCTATATTTACCAGCAATAACTCACAGTTGTTATTGATTTAAAATTTCAGCATGACATGGAAGAATTTGTTAAAAACAGTGAGCAGGTTAGCTTGTCACCTGTGTTAGGATTTGTGCATTAGTTTTGCTATATAGAATAACATACTGTGATATGACTAAACTGAAAATTAAATTAAAACATTTTACGCCAACTCTGTTACTTTTGCTAACTGCCCTGCTTACTGAATAGCACTCTCCACATGCATTTAATCAAATCACACGCTGCTGATATGATGTGAACATACTAATGGCATAGATAATTACTGAGTAAGGCCAACCATTTTTACTGTGAAATTTCTGGTGTCACTATAGCCATGTTTCAACTGCAACCCACTCACAACAGAGCCTTCTCTAAAAGCTTTTTTTGTCCTTTCAGATCGTTGAGAGTTGCTGCTGACCCAGCTGTTAGTTCTGTCAACAGAAACAGTCAAACAAGAGCTAGCGTGGAGTGATTCCAATGTTAGACCTTTATATTACCCAACAGGATATAGTTTTTTTCCTTTTTTTTGAAGAATGATGGAAGCCAACTTGGAACAATATTAGAATTAATTAATGATTGTGACCAGAACGCAGGTAAATGGCATACACTCGATATAATGGATTAATCTGTCACAAAATAATGACTTAATTTCCTTTTTCACTTTCAAGTTCTTTCTTCATCTGACACATGGCCTTCCCAGCTCATCTACTGCTTGCTACAGTAGCAGACAGAATTTGCTGCAGGTCAGACTGAAACTCCACCGAACAGTCGCATGAATTTGACTTCAAGTTTAGTGTCTCCTAAAAGCTGGTGAAAAAATGTTACTGTCAACAGAAGCAACAACAAAAAAAAAATCACCACTAATTCACTGCTACACCCTGTAAACGGTTACTCAGCAATTACGCTTTACTAATGTCACAGTTAAGTACTTGGTATTTAGTCAGTTTTTTTAAAACTCAAAACAACCAAGAAGCTCAGATGTTGCAAGTTTTTTTTTTTCTTTTGCTCTAGTAGCATTTCACGGCCCATTGGTATTCTGGTAGTATACTTGAGTATACCTACCACCTCATCTTGGGACTCCCGACCATTTACGCGGTCCTTATCAAGAGCTACGGGTTTGCACCAGTTGCTAGCACCAGCCTGAAACACTGTACGGGCCTGTGGCTTCTGGCGCAAGCTGCTCTCCCAGTCATAACCTCCCCTAATGGTCCCCTGAGAGACAGCACACTCTCATTACACACTCAAATATCATGCACACGCAAGTGTAAATCAGAACGCACACAGATTCATACGGGAACACTGCACCTCATCACACCAGTGATTATGCTGGCCCCGAAGATGAGAAGAATAATGAGAGGCAACAAGCTGTTAGTATATGAGAAGTGTTGAAGAATGAAAGATTCACACCACCATTGCAAAAAATACATTTTTTCTGTGTTGGTCAGGTTTCAGCTGTCATGTGTAGCTGACAGACTTTATAGTAAAAAAAAACAGACTTTATAGATGCTTCTAAAGTCAGCACAATCACCTTCTGTGTTATTGAAAATCTCTGTTTTTTTCTCCCATGTAGATATAATGGATTAGGAAAAAAAAGAAGATGAACAGACACAAAATCTGTTACCTCTTTCCATGAAGCTCCATTCTCTCCAGGACTGCCATCATGTCCATTCATTGGTTCTTTAGAAACAGAAAGTATACAGCATTTTAAATACTGGGACCAGAGATATTATAACTGCATTTTGATGTGTTCAAACTCTAAGTCTGGAGAAGGACAGTGTCCTGAAAACACTGCTAGTACAATGCATTTCAAAAAAGTTGGTAAGTAAAATTAAAACATTTTAGTTAAAAAAACAACAACACTAAGATTTACTTCATTTTACAAAATAAATGCATTCATCATTCAATAATAACAAGTTTATGTTCTGTAAATAGTGTACATTGTGCTAATCAGTTGTTAAAAATGTTTCTCTTACGGTTTATCTTTTTAAGGCGGACCTCACACTGCTTCACTGTCACACTCAGGCCATTCTCGTCTAGAAAATGAGAAAAATGGGTAAAAACACAAGACTGAATGTAATCACTTCTGCTTAACCTCTTTGACATGTACATCATGAAATGTGGTTTATTTATCAGGTTATTACATCAAATTAGATGCAAAATTACCATACTTGTCTCGTGTTACATGATGAATCATCTTTTTTCTTATCATGATATCATCATCATGGTAACACGTCAGGTTTTGGAGGTGCAAACATTTTATAAAAAATCAAAAATAAATACAATATAAAATAGAATAAGAAAAATGGCAAATATAGCAACCAAACAAACAAGCAACAACTGTACATGTAGAGCAAAATGGCGTAAGACAGAGCAGCTAAACAAATTACCAAATTTAAACTGATTTCAATTTCTAGAGAATGTAAATAAATATAACTAAAGTCAATTTCTGAGTTCCAAAGTGAGGTAAAGAAAGTGGCGCTGTTCCTCGTCCTTATCAAAGCATGATGGTGGATCATCATAGAACTTCTGAAGGTATTGCATTCCAGAGTTGAAGCTGAAGTCGGTGATGAAGGGTGGCCTGGTATTGCCCACCCCCACAGCTGGATCAACTGTGACCTGTTTGTGTGGTAGTCTGTAACCAAGTCTGTTGTAGCCTTTCTGCATGGCTGACAGCTTCTCCATAAGCAAGATGGGCTGGAGGGTGTTGACTGCCCTTGAGAAGTCAAAGAAGGTGGCTCTTACTATGTTTCTTAGCGCTAAAAAAAAAAAACAGTGTTCATACACCATCCTGACTCTGGAAATGGGAAACAAAGTGGCTCACACTGATCCACACACAACATTATTCCAGCAAATCCTGTGCATGTTTGTGGTGCCCCTTGTATTGTCCTCATTACTCTCCTCCTCCTGATACACAAAGAATTCACTCGTGAGCTGTTTGACGTCCTCAGGGCAAGCTGCAGATTCCCAGCTTGGCTCCAAGCTCCCCCACCGCTTTCCCTGTCACTTTCAGTCTGTTCTGACAGTTCAGCAGCTGAGTGATTCTGTTTAGCACCCAGTCATTTAAAAGCAGCTCCTCCGCAATGCAACCTCTGAGTGCATTGTTGAACGACAACAGCTCCTCATTTAACAGTGGCAGTGCCCCTGCAGCCTCAGACTCTTTCAAGAAGTCTTCTACAACTTTCCCACTGAGACTGAGGCAAAGGCTTGACAGGTGAAATTCTTTTTCTTAAGGATAAGTTGTAGGTGCATAGCAGGCTACTGGCTACATCAAGGATGGGCAGCATATCAACTTGAAAAGCTGTCTGTGTTTACCATTGAAAACTGCAAAGAGCTAAAGTGTAATAGGAGTTCTGTCCAAGATTGTGCGATGTGCTGTTCTGATATCTAAACCAAAAACAGCCTTGAGGTTGACTTTCTTGGTAGACAGGAGGAGTACTGTGCTCAGAGGTCTACTGTGAATTTTTGAGCCCGACTGGAGAGCTCCTTAACCTGAGCATGAAAACCAACATCAGCGATGGTGTACATGCCTTCCAAGGCTATTATGTTCAGACTGAGCTCCCTGAGCACTCAACAGATCTAAGCCTGCAGCATTACTGGTAAAATAAACAGCAACAAGACCATATGTGGAGAGCCCAAATTTTTTTCAAGGTCTCCGCCATTGCAGCTTCCTCGCTAGAAGTCAGCAGCTCAGCGACTTGGCTTTGAGAGCCAGTGTACTTGGAAATGCAAACCTTTTTCTTGACTTTTTAGCAGTTACCCCAATCTTAGTCTTCTTAGTCACTGTTATACTCATGTTCTCATCGGTGTCTGATTCCAATTTAGATCTCCTGGCATAGTAAGACAAAAAGATACTTCTGTACAAGTGCTGTAAATGTGATCATCAAAACACATTAATCAGAGAAACTTACCTGACTGAGGAGTTGCCACGATCGGGGTAATTTCATGGCTGTTCCGAGCTTTCACTGGGTCATATTCTGTACTTGTCACATTTTCTTTGTGGAAACACTTGAACCACTTCAGGACCTCAAAGTTGCTTTTAAAATTCCCTTTTATGAGCTCCTCAACTGGCATGGTCTGCATTTAGTGAAAGAAAATATGGCAGCATTTATAAATTCTATACATTACAATAAAATAACATTTTCTTATAGAAATGGATATTGAAGTTACAGTTGAAAGCACTTTCTTGTTCTGTCATAGCAAGAACCTTCCTGATTTACTTTAATGTATTTTAGAGTGATATGAGAGGATTTAGTGCCACTCGTTTGAACACTAAATACAAAGCTAAAGGCAGAAAGTTGTTACTTAGCTCAGCATCGTAACTATAAACAGGGGGGAAAACAGAGCTGTTTTCTAATGAACAACAATTTGCCTACCAGCGTCTCCAAAGCTAACTAATAAAAGCTTTTCACCCTGGAGTTATATATATTGGGACAAGGCCATATTTGTTATTAAAATGCAACCCTACGCCATTTAAAAACAGTCACTGAGTGCAGTTCATTCACTGAAGAGGCCGCCTAGTACTAGCATGACTAAAATGTATGCAGCATTGCTTTGCTGCATATCTGTTACTGTAGTGGAGGATTTCTAGAACAGGTTTAAATATATCAGTGTTACTGAATCATTGTTGTAAGGCTGTTATTTACTGTCTAATTTATAGTTTTGATTAGGTGCAAATAATAATGGTATTTCTGCTGGAATTTTTCAAATTTCTGTGTGGCCTGGTGATGGGGACAAGGAGACATGATTTCAAAATTCTACGAAGTGCCTCTCATCTGTTGTTGTTCATTTTGGCCATAAAGTTCTGCAGTTGTTGCTGACTGAATATGGGGATGAAAAACTCCTGGCAAGTACAATTTTCGCAACAGAAATAAAAAATCAGAATGTCGCTGTCCTTTTTTGAAAAATTACATACCTTTGTAATACCGTTCTTCCTGAAGGACTCATGGAGGAGACTGAAGTTGTGCCTATAGTCTTCCTCACTCTGTGCATCAAACTTCACCTTGGTCATGTCAATAGATCCAGGAATAACACAGTCCATGAGCTGACAGTGACATGCACCTGTCAGATTACACACACACAAAGACAGTTCAGAAAGTATTGTCTATGCTAATGAAAAGAAGAATTATTATTTAGTAGGCTAACCGGATAGAAATTAGGACAATATATAAAAATGATTGTCTGATTGTAGTGTAGACCATCCTTATTTGAGGAATAGTCATGCTATCAGTTCTGCAGTTCTCAGCAGCAAATGTGTTCTTTTCCCAAAAGATGTTTCCCAATTAAAGGTTCATGCTGGTTAGGCTGTGGAGAACTTTTAATGTGAACAAGAAGCTCAGTGCAGAACAAATATAGCTGTGATGTGACAGTATACCAATCAAATAACAATAAGGTAAAACTGTTATCTGCAAATACAGATAGACATTTAGGAGTGAATGGAACTGAACCAACCAGTGTAACACAAAAGGTTTTGAGAGGAGAGAATGTCACAAGCAACTGCACGGTTACAATAGCTCAAGTTGGCATGGTTATACACAGCCACAGTCAAATGTATTTACAGCTCACTGCAACGCAAAGTGATTCAAGTGATTCAAGTTTATGGGAAAACTGCATGAGGACTGCTTATACATACCTGAACCCGTCTGCCGGACATTTTTGAAGTTGGTCTTCAGGAGGCTGTTGATCCATGAAACCAAATAAAAACGGCTGGATTTATCAGTGGAGGAGTCTGGAGTCACAATCGCTGTACTTGCCATCTTGAAGCTCTCTTAGAAATAAAACAACAGCTGGATTAGCATACATTCAGTATGAAGGCGTTAAGCATAAATGATTAGATTATCCAAAACCTTATCATTATCACCCTATGTTCATGTTTGTTTTTCTTAAACCCCTTTTAGACACACTGTTAAGCACATAAGCTTGTCAGCTTTACGTCTGAATGACCATCCTAGTCACTTTTCGAGACGGCAATCTTAGCAGGTTGGACCGAGTAACATTTCTATATCACTTTTAACATGTCACAAGTCTGAACTGCATGTCGCATTCATGGACAAGCAATGTACTTTGAGTTGTGTGACGCGATCTGGGGAAGACTTTTTCCGTATTAGTCCAAAAAACATCACACACAGCAAAAGACACAGTTTGAGTACCTAAATCCAAAACTACTTTCCTCATTCGCTTTGCTCTACAATTTCACATTTACTATAAACTGAAATGTCCATAAAAATGAAACTTGGTTGGATTATATACAGTCTTCAATAATTAAGGAAATCTGGGTTTTGACAGAATGTTAACCGGAGCTGAACTTTAGTTTGTTGCGTCCAGCTGTTTGTAGGAGCTTTTCCTCTGAGTTTATTAAATACCTGTAGAATTAAACATGCAGCAGGACCCATATGGCCTTTACTTAATTGGACAGTTTGATAAGCTTGTTGTCACTTTAAAATCCTGTCTTTTGTTTATTAGTGCTTTATTATGAATTGTATATCACTGGACTTACTGTCCAACCAGCGTGTATGACAAATATCACACGAGTACTGTGACCCTCATTGTGGTGGGTATGTCTGAATGAAGCTGTGAAAAACATTAACATAGAAGAGACCGATGTCCGAATGAAAGAATGTCAGCAATATTACACATCCCCTTATACATTTCCAGTTGTATCAAACATAACATCTTTGTGTATTTTGAATACCATGGTGTTGGTTATTCAATCCCTGGCTCTTTGTTTTTATCCAATGAAGTCGCTTATTACAAGACAATGAACCCTTAATGTGCATCAGACAGCTGACAGTACAAGCACCCTGCAACCTTGCGGTCCACCCTTTAAAAAATTGTTTGCTCAGGAGGTTTTATAGCACTGTCCGTCGATCGCAATGTGTATTATCCAAATGCAATATCCAAATTTTGTAATTCACAAGTCTCCAGGCTTGGTTTGGTTCATCCAAACCAGAGCAGAACAAAATGACAGCCTTGTTTGAGTTTTTAAATGTATTGCTTTGTCTTGCATTTGTGGGGGAAAAAAAGCTTCCTTATTTACAAATCAGGGCCATCTATTAGTGAATGTTTGTTTTTTTCTGTGATGCACTCCCTGGCAAAAGTAGTTCTTTCAAATGCTACCTTTCATGGTGTTCCTGTTTAACAAAAAACAGCTGCCAGTGTCTTCAAAGCTAGTGTTTACCTCTACCCCATGACTGACTTCTAGGGGGGGGTTGGTGGATGAGACTAGGCCGGTGGGTGGGTTGACTAATCCCCTATTGTGTGAATGACACAGTGTGGAGGACAAAAACTGAGGTTTGCCTATCATTTGAAAATTTTCACATTTCCATCCTTTGATTGCATCTAACTATCCTCTGTGTACATTAGGACATCGAGCTGTACTGCAGCTCACACTTCAGCCACGCTGCCGTCTCCCCTCAAAAACTCAATGAAATCTCGCGTTGTTCGTTTTTTGCCGCGAACGTCCCCATTGCACACAACTTTTACTGACGAAGAAACTTGAGCTTTAACACGAGATCTTGTCACTTTACTCGTAAGCAAATAAAACAAATACAGTGCACCAGAAGTGGCACGGTGACTACTACACAGACCGGCTTTTCTTGGTCTGAACTTTTCTTCAACACTGCAGATTACATATTTTCCCACGAGGGAAGCGATCTGTATGTTTTACTGTTGCCTCGTAGCAAGTGGCTACAAGTGATAGGTTTCAATCCGACATCCGTTTAAGAAAATGTAATTACAACGGACGATCAGCGCATATGCATGTAATTTAAGCAACGAGCATTACGAAACAAGTCAATTGCAGTTGCTAGGAAGTCAAAACCTCCACGGCTCTGTCTGCTAATATCGCTGTATGAGCCGGTCTTTGTGTTGTGAGCCAGCAGAGGGCTGGATTTACTACAAGCCAGGACAATAAAAACTGCAACAACACGAGCCTGTGTGCTCCATCCGTAAATTGAATGTGTTTGAGGAGGTCGAAAGACGGCAGAAGCGGCTTGTTTTGCAGATATACAACAGTTGTATCATGGTTGTCTTACCTCGGTTGCTCCGCTATTAGTACAGACGATCCTCCCGACTCTCAGCTCTGTTCTTATGCACATTTTCCGATAGGCAGACCGGCCATGGTGACGTTCGTGGTAGCCGAGAACGATCTATTGGACGGCCGGTGCAGGAGGCTGTCCCGTCGCAGCAATGCTAGCTTTACAACTGGCCCCCACCCCTCTAATAAAGAGCGCAGTCTGAGTAAGAATTCATGCCGTATGAAGTTAACGCTATCCCGCACCGCAGAAAAAACAAACCTCCAATTTTCCGCAGGCTTATAAACATGTATTTGCTATAACCTATGGTAGCCAACCCAGTTTCCCTTTATTTCGATAAAAAAAACCCCGAAGTTATCACTCGGTTGATTAATCGGCACCCCCAAAATCAGCACACTCTAATCAAAACTTGGGCTGAATTAATCATTTTGCCGATTTAGTCCTAGTCGCGACCATCTGCATAAAACGGTTTTCTGTTGGCCGACATTTATAGCTGCCAGCGTAGTTAGCATTAGCTACAATAGCCTAGCTTACGTGACACTTTCCGTCAGAAAGGGAAGTCCCGTAGCTAATACAAATACTGTTGTTTAGGTACATTAAAGTGATTTAAAAAATGACATAAAAAGCGTGGCATTTCAGTTGAGGCGTTTTCGCAAAGGACGCACACCTGTTTGTTTCAGACACACTAGCTAGCTAGCATATATCGTCGTTATGCTCGTTATTAATCTAGCTAAATTCACTAAGTGGCTAGCCACGTTTCCTCTATTATACGACTTTACATGCAGCTTTCTTAGACATGTAGTAATGGCTACTGTCTTGTGACTATCAAATGTAATATTTGGCTTATCGGCTGTTTCTTACGGCCTGCGTTGTCACATAATGGCGCTGAGGCTGGCCAGCATGTGGAAGCACCGTGAAGGCAATGACACCACGGAGCCACATCATGGCGGAGCTTCCCATGACGGTGGAAACTCACCACGCAGTGAAGCTGCGTCAAGAAAAAAAAAAGTACTAGTCAGTATGGCTCCTACTGAGTTTACTTGCATCATGACTTTTGACTTAATAAGGAATACATAGCGTGGATGAGGCATAATTGCGTCAAAAGGGGCTAATTACAGTGCGTCATTAGTATCAGAACAAAATGTCTGCCATAAAAAACCACCGCGGCCATTTGCGGAATCGTCCAAATAGGAGTGAATAACTTAAAGAAAAAGAGGAAGAAAAACCAGAAAATTATTATTATTATTTTAAAAATCTGCACCATGAACAAAACAAATGGTTTCGCCCAAATCTTAGCTTGAGGTTCATGATGTCTGTAATCAGACTGGGAAGCAATAGCCATTGAAAACATGGCACAAATGGTGATATGGCTGCAGCTAACATTAGTTTTTCTCACTTTATGGATTAATTGTTTGCTCAGAAAATGGTGAAAAATGTCAATTAGTGTTTCCCAAAGCCCAAGATGACATTGTTAAAAATCTTGTTTATTCCACAACCCGAAGATACTCAGCTTACGGAGGAGCAAAGAAAGCATGTAAGAAGCTGGAATCAGATAATTTTGACTTTATTGCTTCAAAAATATTACTGAAACCAATTAATTGACTATCAAAATAGCTGACTAATGCACTAGTAGAAAACAAATTGTAGCAGCTATAGTTGATAGTGTACAGAACAGTATTGCACAAACAATGCCATAGGAAGTAATAATCTGCATTTCATTGCCTTGTACTTGTGACGTGCAATGACAATAAAGTTGAATCTAATCTAATACAGATAAGTCTGCAACTTGCATGTGTCTTCTGATCTTGGATTCATTCAGCAAATGACAAATTGTACTGACACTATGTCTTTAAAAAAAAAAAAGTAAGATTACTCTACTAGTATCAAATAAATAGCATTCATGCTGGTGGAGCAGAATATTTGAATGGAAATTATTTCTAGAAATTAGCATGTAATGATGCTGTTACATGTGGGTAAATAGACCAAACTGTTTTGGTTTTATCCCTTGCAGTAAATGAATTCAGTCAGTTTAATGCTACTGATCAAAAACAAACAAACAAACAAACAAAACAAAAACAACCCCTCATTATATTATTTAGATTGGCTATAAACATGCAGATTTCTTTAATAACTAATTTATTAATTTATTGAGTGGTCGTATAAACACTAGGAACTCCACCAGTGCAAAACAATATTTTACAAAATTAAATATTTGGACTCCACTGGCTTATTGACATATTCCTGCTTCCACTTCTCTGCCATAATGTCTTATTAACATTTACAACTGCAAACATATGGTTGCATTTATTAGTTTACACACGGAGCTGTTAACATACTGGATGGAAAACCTAGTCTGTTACAACTGTAGTTTGTCAGCTATGTAATGTTATGTAAGTTTCAAAGTTCCCTTTCTGTGCATTAATGTGCAATGTCTAAAAAAATTGTGCTGATAATTATGGCTTCAATTCTGAGATAGTGCAAAAAAACAAAAAAAAAGTATCATCTCTATCTTTCGTTATCAGGTTTGCAGTTATAAATATTAGTTGATTCATATAAAGTCTTGTGCTTATGGATAAATAAAGAGAAATACTTTTTAAATGCCCTATTAGAAAGTGTAGCCTAACATTATATTGTAATACTGTTTAACCGTTGTGTTATTCACTCATGTGTCTAATTTTTAGATATGTGTTTGCTGCACAGACAGCTGTGTAATGCATCCTATATGGCTCTAAATTTAATGTTTGACTGAAGATACTTTACTTTTTGATGTGGGACAATGTAGTTCATCAGACACTTAGTCTACACTTACTGAATTTGTATTGTTAGTCTTCTAATTCATTTTCATAGTGAAGTAAAATCAGGCCAGTTCTTATTTGTATGACTCAATATTTTATTGAATTAAACATTTCATGCATTTATTTCCCACAAGGCCCAGTGCTGTATGTGTAAAAATGCTTACAGTAATTACAAATTAAACACAAATAACAATTTGTAATTTTTATTTTTTTTTGCCATATCACCTTATTTAACATACTTTAATATTAAAAAGGAAGTATTAAAATGGAAACTAATTTCTTTGCCATGAATTGGACTTTTGAGCATCATTGTACAGTAATTAAATGAACAAAACAAATTGTCTTTGTTTCTCAAAAAGTCACTTACAGGCACAGAAATATACATTTACAACGTCAACCCACAGCGTGATCCACGTTTGAGGTCCATTAGCTCCCTCTTATGTACAAACTGTTCATAACTTTCATTTGAAATAAATGAACAAATAAATGCTCAATTAACAACGAAGCACAGAGCTATATGTAATCACAGCAGGGTTCTCCAAACGCAAGTTTTATTCATTTGAAGTAAACTTCAGGTCCAAATTACAATTTTTTTTTACAATTTCGATTCATTTTGGAAATGTCAAAGCACTGCATGTAATGAGAATATTCTCATGGCTTTTGAGTGTTTACAGCATAAACACTGAGGAAAGCTGCTGTCATGTAAAAGTAGGTGAAGCCTCTTTCTGTCTGGTGAAGAGAGATGTTCCCATTGAAATGAGTAACAACATACAGTATAATTAACCTTTTCCACCTTGGAGGGTTAAGGCAGCACAAACCCGTCATCGTTTTTCAAAGGTTGTTGAGGTGCTGCACATTCAGTGAAGCACGCACTCGGTGCCACTGTGATTAAAATGGATGATGTGCTTCATTTCAGTTGCGTCAAATTTGGTCGAGCTGCAGTTGAGAATTTTTAGAACAGATTCAATAACATCAGTGTCACTGACTCATTGTTGTAAGGCTGTTATTTACGCTCTAATTTACAGATTTGATTAGGAGGAGGTAAAAATGTCAATTTTTCACTGAGTTTTTCAAATCTCACTCTGACTGGAAGACAAGGATAAGTATTTCAAAATTCTCCAAAGTGTCTTTTATTTAGAGAATTTGAGGTTGTTCTTTCTGGCCTTACAGTTATGATGCAGTCACTGGCTGAATTTCAGGATTTTTTCAGGTAGAATTTAAAAAAACAAAAAAAAACAGTAAAGAGCTTAATAGCTTTGGTAAATTATACTGTTGTATGACTGTCAATGGTCAAAGTAGCATTTCTGTGGTGTGGACTGGAATGATTTAGTGCATTTCTCGTGCTATAAATGTAATTGTACTGAGAGTAGGTCCAGGGGTTAATGTGTGTGTGCGAATTTATGTTGGAATAAATGTACATGAACGGTTGGAGACGGAGGCTGAACGCTGATGGCATTGACTCCTCGGGGCACAGTATTTATGGACTGATACTGAGTTCAACCCTTCATGTGAAAATGCTCTTACAATGTGAAATACTGTTTTAATTCTAAAAACCACAAATTGTCCCTGAAGGTCTTCTTATGGCGACGCCTTCGGGCCTTCGTGACGCCATCCACAGTGAGTGGTGGCTCACAGCGGGGTCACAGGGGTCGGGGTAGGCTTTGTTTGTCTGGTCACCTCTTCGGCAGCCCATCCTCCCAAAGGCAAGGGTCATCACAGTGGAGAGAAAGACGGCACTTCATGTTCACTTTTCTTCATGAGGCTTATGTCTTAGTGATGTTTTACTAGTTGACAATGTGTGAATATATCACATGTGTGTGTTCATATAAGGGCTAAAACATTGATGGTGGGGACATTTCTTTATAGGATCATCGTGTGTTGGGCTAAGAGGTCAGACAAAGGAATGCTGGAGTCTTAATAACAGCCATGCTCACAAAAGGAAGAAAAAAGCACCATAAATTGCTCTGGTTGAAAGCCTGAATGACTTGTCTAACAAAGTCTAGAAAGCACTTGTTCAAAGCACTTCTTCAATATTAGAGCTAATGTGTCCTAACCAATGTATTTACTGTGTATAATTTCATCATCAGCAGTAGCAGCTCATCTGAATAATACTGTAGGACTGCAGGTTCTTGGGGTTCCATGATTAGATTACTCAGTCATAGTTTAGATCGATGATTAACTCTGGGTGGAGGAATTACAAACATTTCGGCACCACTTTAGTTTGTAGTTTATTCTGACCCTCAGTGTGAGAAGTGTTACTGCTTTGCCTGATGAAAAGTGGATGGAA